TGTATTGTTTCAGGTCTTATATGGAGATCTTTAATTGTTTTGAGTTTATTTTTGTTTATGGTATCAGAAAGTGGTCCAGTTTCATTCTTTTGCATATAGCTGTCTAATTTTTCCAAAACCATTTATTTAAGAGACTATTTTTACCCTAGTATATTCTTCCTTCCTTTGTCATAGATTAAATGATCACATAAGTATGGATTTCTGTCTGGCCTCTCTATTCTATTCTATTGATCTATTTGACTATTTTTATGCTAGATCTATAATGTTTTGATTACTGTAGTTTTGTAGTATAGTTTGAAATCTAGGATTGTGGGATGCCTGGGTGGCTCAGTGATTGAGGGTCTGCCTTTGGCTCAGGTCATGTAATTCTGGGGTCCTGGGATCAAGTCCCACGTCAGGCTCCCCACAAGGAGCCTGCTTCTCCTTCTGCCTATGTTTCTGTCTCTTTCTCTGTGTCTCCCATAAATAAATAAATAAATAAATAAATAAATAAATAAATAATCTGGGATTTTGATACCCCCAGTTTTGTTCTTCTTTCTTTTTTTTATAAAGATTTTATTTATTTATTCATGATAGACACACAGAGAGAGAGAGAGAGAGAGAGAGGCAGAGACACAGGCAGAGGGAGAAACAGGCTCCATGCAGGGAGCCTGACATGGGACTCGATCCCGGGTCTCCAGGATCAGGCCCTGGACTGAAGGCAGCGCTAAACTGCTGAGCCACCAGGGCTGCCTTTGTTCTTCTTTCTTAAGATTCCTTTGGCTATTTGTGATCTTTTGTGATTTCATACAAATTTTAGGTTTTACTAATTCTTGTTCTGTGAAAAATACTTTTGATATTTTGATAAAATATCACTGAATCTTTAGATAGCTTTGAATAGTTTGGATATTTTAACACTAGTTTTTCTAACCCATCAGCATGGTATATCTTTCCATTTGTTTGAAATTTCTTCATCTTCTATTTCTTTCATCAGTGCCTTATAGTCTTTAGCATACTGGTGTCACACTTCCATGGTTAGTTTTATTCCTAGGTATTTTATTATTTTTGGTGCAGTTGTAAATGGGATTGTTTTCTTAATTTCTCTTTCTGCTCTTTTGTTATTAGTGCATAGAAATAGATCAGATTCCTATATATTGATTTTAAATTCTGCAGCTTTGATTTTATTAGTTCTAGAACTAATAGGTAACTATAGGTAACGTTTAATTAATTTTGATCACCACACAGTTCTTTTTAATTATCGTAATATTTAAAATTAGTTTAGTGCATATACCAACCTTTACGGAACCATGCCAGAGTCAATATGCAAAAAAAAAAAAATACAAACATCTTTTTACCATTTAGGAATTACAATATTTCATACATAATGAGCAAATATAAAGCAGACATTTGTACAAAAGCAATAATGCAGACACTGGAATTTTATAAATTACATTTTAATGTTGCCTTATGCAAATTAACCTATAGCCCAGATCTTGCTAAATTATTCTTATATTGGCAGACTTAAAGAACTTACAGAAATATGCTATATCTCATAACAAGATCCTCCACAAGTGATGACAAAAAGTGAATTCTTTGATATTTTACTTCTGAATTTAAAAACTTCCTATTTGTTGAGAATTTAGAGAGGTAAAAGGGAATAACTGTTAAGTGAGAACAAAAAAATACTATATTTTTAATTAATAATGATGTAGATTTGAATCTAGATCAAATTGGAAATAAAAGGTTAAATATGAACACAAATTCTATTTATTTATTTATACATTCATTCATTTAAACACAAATTCTTTAATGGATTGTAATATGTGTTAAATATGTTGATGTATGAACTACAAATTATATTCTCACATATAATTTAGGCAAAAATTAGGTATAGAGAAATACGTGTCAATAGCATAGAAAAATACGTGTTTACAGGGATTCAAAATTTTAATATTTTCATTTAGTTGGACTTTAAAACATTTGAAATTCTGCTTTGGTCCCTCAGCATGACTTGATATCATATTTTTCATTAAGTTATTTCTAGTGTCACAAGCTTGCCTCACATGGCTTTGAATTATAAGAACTATTATATAAAATAAGAGAAAGGCTGATGGGAAATTAATCTATGAAGTGAAAAAAAAAGGTTTTTAAATATCTTATTTTAAATATCTTATATACTCCCAACTTTGTGATGAGTGTTTATAAATTAAGACAATCTCTAGTATAAAGATCACTAACATTTTATGATCAGTCATGCATCTGTTTATGTCAATAGTTTGCAAATTTCCTTAAATTGAGTAATTGATGTCCTTCCTGGTCAAGTGTACATTTTGTGCTTCCTGCTAGTTTCAATAACAATCAGTGAAGTTTAAAGTGAATAGAAGCATTTCTCAAACATTCTGTATTCAAAGCACAACAGAAGGATAGGAGAACTATCAATTCATTCATTGCATGTGACATCAAGTAATTCTTTCTAATCTGCGCCTCAGTGGGCTGCATTATGGCCATAAGAGAGAAACACTTGGTTAAAACATTTCATGCTTAAAGTCTATCTGAGGAAATGATAAACTTCTCTTCATTTGGATTTCAGTGTTTGATGTTCTCTGTATTAACAAAAGTCAATGAATTGCATATCTACCGTACTAATAATTTTAGCTAAAGTTAACAAAAATTAAGGATCCTGTCTGCTCAACTGATTCACAAGATTTTATCACATTCAAAACTTCTATTTCTTTGCCCTTTGTAGAGTAGCAATTGTTATAAGTAGTACGGTGCCAAAACTCTGATTAGCCTGATGGTCCTTTACCTTTTAAGAACTATGGATTATGAACAGCATCCCAGAAATAATGCATATACATAAATCATGCAAAAGTTGGCATGCACCTCAGCAGACATATGAAAGCTCTGAAGTTCAATGACATTATATAAATATGAACTGAATTAAATTATTCACCTATTCACTGCTTTGGGGAAGTGGCACAATACAGTGCAAGTTAAAGGAATCCAATCTCTGACCTTAAGAAATTAATAATCTAGGCAAACAATGTTTTCAAGAATTTGTAGAAATATGTAAATTTAGAACACTAAGGATAAACCTGTAGATATTATTTTTAAGAAGAGATCTTGATATTTATGAAGTGCTTACTGCAGTCAAGATATTAAGTGCTTTAATATATCAATCTCGGGCAGCACGGAGGGCTCAGCAGCTTAGCGCCGCCTTCAGCCCAGGGTGTGATCCTGGAGACCCGGGATCGAGCCTCACATCGGGGTCCCTGCCTGAAGCCTTCTTCTCCCTCTGCCTGTGTCTCTGTCTCTCTGTCTCTCTCTCTCTCTCTGTGTGTCTCATGAATAAATAAATAAAATCTTTTTTAAAAGATAAATAAATATATCTTTTCACAAAGACCCAGTGAGATAGATATTTGTATCCCCATTTTAAATCAGGAAACCAAGATTTAAAGAAGTTGACTTGTCCAAGGTCACAAAGTCAAGTAAATGGCAGATGTAGAGACTCTACTTCTGTGTTTATTGATACCAAATTACACTTTAACCATTTCACAGCACTATTTACTACATGATCAGTGAAATCTTTATTATGGGACACATAAGTGAAGCATTTGGAGAAGATTCCTTAAAAAAAATACCTTTAATATTTATTTGCTTAGTATTAAGTTAAGCAGCCATTGGTAAAACATACTGTATTGTGGGAAAATAAACCAAATAAGTGTACCTCACACTCTAAGCCAGAACCTGTTATTCTACTTCACTTAGTTAAGTATCTAGAGACCAAATAGGAATCAATTCTTACATTATTGATCCAGAACATTTTAAAATTAGACTGCATATCATAAAATTGTGCAAAAAATATGATATCATACAGTAAGAATACTTGCACATATCTGCAACAAAGTGAATTCCCTGGGAAGTAAGTTGTAATTTCCTTTTTCTTTTTTCACTTGTGGCATGACAGATGGTTTTTACAATGCCTTGAGCACTGTTAACAAATTTTCTTAATAGAGGATGAAAACTTTATTTTAGTTTCAAGTTCTCAAGTAAATGTTCTACTGTGTTAATAACTTCATTGTTTAAGTTTTATGAAATATTGACATTAAAATAGGAAATGTATATGTTCATAATATTCGTGTTAGAAATGTAAGGATACAAAAGTAATTGTACAGTGTTAACTTTTAAAAACTAAGTAGAAAAAGATTTAAAAGAAAAATACTGAAATGTTTCCACTGAATTGACTCTAGATGATGATCTTTGTTTCTGTTTTGTTTTGGTTTTGTTTTGGTTTTCAGCTCATCTGTGCTTTTTTGTCACTTATTTAATAAGCATATATTATTTTTCTTTTTTTTAAGATTTTATTTATTTATTCATGAGAGACACACACAGAGAGAGAAGCAGAGACACAAAAGAGGGAGAAGTGGGCTCCATGCAGGGAGTCCGATGTTACTCGATCCGGGTCTCCAGGATCAGGCCCTGGGCCAAAGGCAGCGCTAAACCACTGAACCCCCCTGGGCTGCCCATATATTATTTTTCTAATCAGGAAAAATTTAGCAAACCTCATCAGTTGAACTTTAAGCTCAAATTTAGACTCATATGCAAGAATTTTTTAGAATAAAAAGAATCACCTGTGATCAGGTTTCCCTTTTGCATGCAGTAAGGAAGATTATCAGCTAGTAATTTTAAAACAAAAATAAATTGTCTCAAATGAAGTCTGTTTATTCAATCATCACCATATGCTAGCAGTTCAATAGTGTCAGGACAAAATACCCCTAAATTCCAAATTAAACAACTATCTGCACTTGGGGCTACCACACCTACCCCAATTCATCCCAATCACCAGCCACATTGCCTTTGATTTAATTTAGATTATGGCCATTTCTTTTTATTAATATTAAAGCAATGCAAAATAGGATTTAAGTATCAGTAGTAAGAAGAGTAACAAAAATCTGACAAACACAATCTTAAAGCCAACATAAAATATTCATTTAAACCATTTTTAACTTTGTGTTTTACAGGGACTGAAGAGGAAGATGAAGGAGATGACCTTCTGCTTAGGTCGGTAGATGAGTTCTGGTGGTTTCCTCATATGTGGAGCCATATGCAGCCTCATCTCTTCCACAATGAGTCATCCTTAGTTGAACAGATGATTCTCAACAAGGAATTTGCACTGGTGAGCATATTTAATTGCAATATTTTTCAAACTATGAGTTTTGATGTATCAGTGGATTGTAAAATCAACTTACTGGGTTGAATACAACAGATATAGAAGATATCAGAGAGTACATCATACATATTAGGGTATATAATGCTTTGTGTTATTTTGTTTCATATATATATATAATATATATATATATAGCCATGATGTGGTATTAAATGTATTTCAAGGGGGATCCCTGGGTGGCTCAATGGTTTAGCACCTGCCTTCGTCCCATGGCATGGTCCTAGAGTCCCGGGATCGAGTCCCACATCGGGATCCCTGCATGGAGCCTGCTTCTCCCTCTGCCTATGTCTCTGCCTCTCTCTCTCTCTCTCTCTCTCTCTCTCTCTGTGTGTGTGTGTGTGCGTGTCTCATAAATAAATAAATAAATAATCTTTTAAAAAATTAAAAAATAAATGTATTTCAAAAAGTATGTAATTATCAGAAAGTTACTGACTTTGTCTTATAGAATAATTATTCTTGTACCTATGAGGAGGAAATATAGTACCTTCTCCATTGTATTCCTGATACATTATAATTACCTCTCAAAAAGCATTTATTGTAAGGAGAAATGAATGGATGGATAAATTAAATCATTAGAGCAATGATTGTAAACCAGTGGTTTTAAACTCTAGCATGTATCTTTTTCACCTAAGAGACTTTTTAAAACACAGAGTGCTGGGCCCACTCCTAAAGTTTCTGTTTCAATAGATTTTCAGAGAGGCCTGAGAATTTGCATTTCTAACAAATTATCAGTTGGCCCTTAGGCCAAATCTGGCCTGCTGTTTGCTTTGTAAAATTAGGTAAATATTTCCTTTCAAAAAATAAACTTACCTTGAGTAAGCATGCTAAATTCTCTCTTTGCAGTTACCTTGACAATAAACTGTTTATCATTTGACTTAAACCTCCCCTACCTCACTTACACTGTGAAGGCGTGCTTTTTAGGTATGTGGGTTATATTTCATAATGGCTGATTTCACCTGTTTGTATAATTTCTTTTTTAAAAAAAACCATGCCAAAAGCATTGGGAAAGACTCAGACATAATTGCTTTGTAATGAAATGTTGAAAGCTATTTAGAGTTCATTCAGAGCAATTACATTTGTTTAGTCAGTGTGGCTAGATGCTAGACTGAAGCCTATAAATACATTTTGTAAAAAATGATCTTATTATATGTTGCATTGGCAAAATATTGCAACTAAAATGAAGTCTGTTAAATTAAACACACAGACTGAAATGACATTGTTCTTCTCCTTCTGGAGTTCTCACCTCCGTAAAGCTTCTCAGGACTCTTCAGGTAGTGACTTTCAAACCCATCTTGAGCTGGGTGTGACAACATAGGATGACAATCAGTGTGTTGTCCAGAGAGCCAGGGAATGCATCTCTTTCCTCTTAAATTATTATCTTTCCACATCCAGATGACACTGCAAAACCATAACAGTATCAAGATGGAATAGGATACTGGAAAATACTACATGAGATATTGGCAGGCTATATTTTAGTCCTCACTGCAGGTAACAATTTCTAATACAGATGAGGTCTCATTTATTGTCTTCATGCCTCAGTTTCCTCCCCTGAAATAGTAATGATTCCCTTTTTCATTCTCTTAACTACAAAGTTTTTAGATAATTAATTTAAATCAGCTCATCTGCCAACCAAAAGCGCTAGACCAGATAATCCACTGATCAATTCCATTTCTAAAATTCTATGATCAGTGACATCAGTCCACGAATTTGGAATGAACAACTTGAAATAATCATCTAGTTGCAATTGAAGCAATTATGGAAAGAGATTTTCAAACTAAATGACCAATTTAAACTGAAAAATATCAAAAGTGTTTAAATCTCTCTCTTTTTTATTCCAATATGATATTCCTTGGTATGACCTTGGCTGGCAGAGGGGTTATCAGTCAAAAGCACAGTTATTCTCACAACACTTACAAAAACAATTCAAATAACATATTAATAGTTTTATATTGATGTTTCAAGAGCAGTTAAACAATCAGAATGGTTTTATTTGTAATATTTATCTAAATTCTGTATGGATAGAGTTCATTTTCTATTGTAATATGTCTAAAAATCAAGAGAGAAATATATTGCAATACTATTTTTTTACTGTTCCATCATTTTAGGAGAGCTTTTATTACTGTAAAGCATTGCCATTTCTTTTGTCAAAAGCATTTTTTATTGAAGTATAACTAATAGTGTCATATTAGTTATACTTCATTAGTTATACTAATAAATACTATTATTAGTAACTATTATATAATTATATATATTATATAACTATTATAACTAATATTAGTTATACTAATAAAGTATGCTTTATACTAATAAAGTATAACTAATAGTGTTATATTAGTTTCAGCTATATAATACACTGATTCAACAATTCTGTACGTTATTCAGTGCTCATCACTAATAAGAGTATTCTTATTTCCCTACATCTATTTCACCCATCCTCCCACCTGCCTCCTCTCTGGTAACTGCCAGTTTGTTATCTATATTTAAGAGTCTGGGTTTTTTTCTTTTTTGTTTTTCTCATTTTTACTTTGTTCATTTTGTTTCTTAAATTCTTCATGAATGAGATCATAATGGTATTTTTCATTCTCTTCCTAACTTATTTCACTTAGCATTTTACTGTCTAGTCCATCCCTGTTGTTGCAGATCTCATTCTTTTCTATGGCTGAGCAATATTCCATTGTGTATATATATACCAAATCTTTATCCATTCATCTATGGGTAGACACTTGGGTTACTTCCATATCTTGGCTCTTGTCAATAATGCTGCAGTAAACATAGTACATTTTTTTTGAATTAGTGTTTTCATTTTCCTTCAGTAAATACTCAATAGCAGAATGGCTGAATCATATTGTATTTCTAATTTTAGCCTTTGAGGAATCTCCATACAGTTTTCCACAGTGGCTACACTAAATTATATTCCCACCAATGTGCACAAGAGTTCCTTTTTCTCTACATCCTCATCAATGCTTGTTATTTGTCATCTTTTTTAATCTAACCATTCTTACAGTTTGTGATATCTCATCATGGTTTTGATTTGCATTTCACTGATGATTACTGACTATGTTTTCTTCTAGGACTCTTATGGATTCAAGTCTCACGTTTAAGTCCTTAAGCCATGTGAATTTATTTGTGTAAATTGAATAAGAAAGTGATCTGGTTTCATTGTTTTGCAGGTACCTATCCAGTTTTCCCAACACCATTTGTTAAAGAGATTACATTTTTTCCATTGCATTTTCTTGCATCCTTTGTTGTAGATTAATTGATCATATAATTGTGGGTTTTTTTTCTGGTCTGTTTTTTTCTGTTCTATCAATCTGTGTGTCTGGTTTTGTGCCAATATTGTACTGTTTTGATCACTATAGTTCTGTAGTATATTTTAAAATTCAGGATTGTAATACCCTCACCTTTGTTCTTTCTCAGGATTGCTTTGGCTAGTTGTATTCTTTTGTGCTTCTATATAAATTTAGGATTATTTGTTCTAATTCTATGAAAAATGTTGTTGGTATTTTCATAGGGATTGCATTAAATCTATAGATTGCTTTGTATAGTATGGATATGTTAACAATACTGGTCCTTCTATTCCATAAGCATAGAGTATCTTTTCATTTGTTTGTGTCATATTCCATGTCTTTTATCAGTGTTTTATACTTTTTGGAGTATAGATGTTATACCTCCTTAATTAGGTTTACTCCTAGGTATTTTATATTTTTAATGCAATTGTAAATGGGATTGTTTTCTCAATTTATCTTTCTGCAACTTACTTATCAGTGTAAAGAAACTCAACATTTTACTGTATATTAATTTTGTAATTGTAATTCTGTAATTTGTGACTTGGCTAAATTTAATTATCAGTTCTGATAGTTTTCAAAGCACTATTATTTCTAAATCCATGCACATTTATGTTGTGTTGTGAATTCAGGTGTGTATATATAGAAAGTTATGTGTATGTTATGCTTAATCTAAGAGCACATGTGTATAGAGTATATGAATGTGTTTGTGTGTGCATATATATGCATGCATGCTTGTTACACGAACATATATGCCTTGTGAGAGTGTGTATGTTTGTGTAGAGGGTGTTAGTTGAATGATAAGTATAGTCAACGAAGGTATGTTAATTTTAAGATACTATGCTTATAGGGCAATAAGGCAGGCAGTAATAATTTTTGATTCTTTCTTTTAGTAAACCATACATTTTTGCTTTCATTCTGTTGCTTGAGCATCTCACTAACTAGAAGCAATGCTTCAAAGATGACAACAGGCAAACAAAAACTCAAGAGAATGAGAAACATTGGCTAACATTAAGGTGTTTGATGAAAATGTTACCAGAAATCATTCCTTACTCAACCCATACCTCTTTTTCAAATCTAGAGATCAAGAATGCCAGAGTTATTTATTTTTATTCCACAATAAATGTATGGGGGTGGGGAAGAAATTAAGAAACAATGTCTCCTTGTTTTAAGCTTTGTGTACAGACTCATTAACATTTTCAAATGAATAAGGCCCATTTGTTCACTAATAGTAGTAGTAAACCATAAATATCCTGAACAGATAAAAAAAATTGTCTTCACTGATAACTTTTAAATAATTATCTGTTTTTCTTGACATTTTGTTAAATAATCATGCATCTTATTTATGAGTAAATAAGTTAAGAATTATTGAAATAGGGGCACCTGGGTGACTCAATCAGTTAAGCGTCTGCCTTCAGCTCAGGTCATGATCCCAGAGTCCTGAAGGTGAGTCTTGTATTAGCTCCCTGTTCAGTGGAGAGTATGCTTCTCCCTCTGCCCTTCCTCTGCTTGTGATCGATCTCTCTCTCTCAAATAAATAAATGTTTTTTAAAAAAGAATTCTTGAAATAAAAGCATACGTTTTTAAATTCTACTTTTAAAATGCTACAAATTTTTATTAATTCTGTTTTTGTTTTCATAATTAGGCAGAACATTTCTGATAAGA